CATTGGATTCTTCAGAGGATGATGAGATCCTCTTCACTATTTGAGGGGTTAGTCCCTTCGTCACATAGGGCTTTAGCTTTTCCTTTTGTAGATTCTTTTTTGTAGCAAAAACCACAATGATTGTCATGCTTTAACAGCTTGCATAGTCTATTATGGACTGCTTTATTGGCTGGGACCAAATTTTCAAAGATTTCCTTTCTTTTCTGCTTTATTTTGAATAGGCTGATGCTTGTCATTAATCTTGCACCAGTGGATACCACCAAGATTTCTTTGGAGAAACCATATGTCCATGTCTTCCTCATTTCTATCATTCTATCAAAGATCTGGAGTAAAACCTTGAATCCTAGAGCTCGTCTCTCTTGGATGAACTCAATTAGACAAAGAGACTCTTCAAAGTCTTGAAAAATTTGATCTTCATTCACTTCTACCTTGATCTTCTTGGACTAGATTCCAATTTGAACTATATGATGACTCGGGAGATATTGAGATTTCTCCCATTCTGGTGCTGTAGAGTAAATTTTGACAAACACTACCCCTTGAGCTTTGGTGCCAGTTTTGAAATCTTTTACTCTGCGTATAACTTCTAGAAGTTCTGAAACTTTTTCATTATCCTTTGAGAGATAAATACAATTTACAAAACTGTAATTGAATAACTTTTTTATTGCTTTTGGGTTTGCACCCTACATGAAATTAATTCTGGGATAAATCCCTTCATGGATAGGATAGCAATTCTCAGTGAACCTCATTGAATATGCCATTTTACAAACTCTACGGTATTCCTGCAGATATTCTTCACTCATTGTCATTTTTGACAAGGTGTCTATTATTGCAACTTTCTTTTCTTTCTTTCCTAAATAATCAGGTCGAAACTTATGGCTTTCAGCATTTTGAATAGCCGACTCTTCAGCTTGACACGCTAATATTTCTAAGGGAGAGTATTTGACATAATAATCAAACTTCCCTGAACTTTCTCCAAGTAATCTTACTGAAGGATCACCTTGTTCAAAATTTTCTTTTAGCTCTTGTTGAGAGCTTTTCTTTGCCATCTGGATAGATTCTTTAGAACTAATTTCGACAGTAGTAATTACTCCAAAACTCATTAATTTTTCTATTAGCTCTTTGACCTCTTCAAGGGCATCTTGCCCCTTATTTAATAACTCATGGCCTTTAATAATCTTTTCTTGGCCTTCATCCATACGGTTATGGCCTTCATCGATTATTTCTTAGCCTTCATCAATTATTTCTTGGCCTTCTCTTATTTGGCTATTGCCCTCAATGAGTATCTCTTGACCTTTGAGAATAAGATCTTTCCCTTTATTTTGGAGTTTCAAGATTGCATCCATTAGCTCATTCTCTTCTCAAGAAATCTGCAAGACAATTATTAGTTCCTTTGACATGTTCAATTTCAAAATCATATTCGGCAAAGAAAGTTTGTCATCTATTTAATCTTTTATATTCTGGTGTTAAAGGTAATTTATTAAAATAAATCCCCTAACTTGAGTATTGTCAATTCTGACCTTAAAATGTTTTGGTAATAAGAAAAAACTGAACTTTTTTATTCCATTTTTAATAGCTAATAACTCTTTATGATTTGAATGATATCTAGTTTCTACATCTTTAAATGTACCACTAGCATATCTACAAACTTTTTCTTGAGAATTTTTTAAAGCTACTCCCCAATAAAAATCTGAGGAATCACATTCTAAAATTAACTCTTCATCCTCTTTAGGCAATTGTAGCCTAGGAAGGTGTTTGCAATATTCTTTTATTATTTTCACATGATTAGTGTGATAAATTTCCCATTGTTGATTTTCTTTTTTCCTTAGCAACTTTTGCAAAGGATGTCTTAATTGAGCTAGGTTTTGAATAAATTGCTCTACATAATTGAGTATTCCTAGAAACCTTTGAATTTGTTCTTTAGATTCTAATTTATCTTGGAACATCGAAATCTTTTCACTAATGTGAGGTTGTAATTCTATTCCCGTGGAATCTATTGTTAATCCAAGGAATTCAATTTTGGGTTTTCCTATTGCTGCTTTCTTTTCAGAAAGTAATATTCCATGTTTCCTGCACAAATATGCAAATTTTTTAAGATGACATAAATGTTCTTTCTCATTATCAGAGAAAATTAGTATGCCATCTACAAAAACTATGCAAAATTTTTTGATGGAAGAAAATACATTATCCATCCTTCTTTAAAATATTTGAGGTGCTTTTTTTTAATCCAAAAGGCATTACTAACCACTCATAGTGTTCTGTATGGGCACTAAAGGCCATTAGTGGGATACTATCAAGAGTTAGCTTAATTTGCCAACATCCTGATTTGCAATCAAACTTTGAATACATTTTCTTTCCTCTAATGCTATTGATTAGAGTTCCTTTATGTGGTAAAAAATAACCATCGAATTTAGTTTTGCTATTAAGTTGTTTATAGTTGACAACCATTCTGGCTTTTCCTCTTTTTAATTAATTATGATTTCTTACCATAAAGGCCTGACTACTATGCGAACTCTTAGAAGCTTGTATGATTTTATGGGCCATTAACTCTTGAATTTGCTTATCAATCTTCTTTATCTTCAAGGCTATACCTCATTGGTTTGACTCTAATGATAGTTGTTAGGTCTATCAATTCGATTGTGGCATAAGTTTTATCGACTCCCCATAGTTTTGTAGGATTTTCTCCATAGTTAATTCTTAATTCTTCTGAGATAGATTCTAAAGTTATTTTTTCTTGTGTTTTTTCATTATTCCACAATGCTAACATTGGTTTTTTAATCTTTTTTGGTCAAGTTTTTGTATTATCTTCACCACGTTGGCTGCAAAAATTTAATGGTTCTATTGCTCTAGTATAAGCATTATAAATTCTGAAGGCGTAAAGCCAATATCCACAAGGTGTATAAAATTTTACATATGATGCAGTTTAAACATACTACTTGAATTGACATAGGAAATTGTTTCCTAATAGAATATCATTCCCATGCTTGTTACTTTCATAGATTCAGGGAATTATGACTTCAGTTCCACCAATTATGATAGTATCTATTTCTATTATTGTTTTATATTGAATAATACTTCCATCTATAGCTACACCTTTCATAGTTTGAGAGGTGTTCCTCCAATAATATTTTGGGAATAGATTGTTTTTGGCTAAACATATCCCAGACCTTGTATCTATAAAAGCATGAAAGAATTCTGTTTTGTATTCTTTATATTTGATTCCAATGGATATCTATACACTATATATACTAGTTTCATAGTATCGAGGTATAACCATTTCTTTTCCACTTAAGGTAATCTTTAAACAATGTTCTTGGATATTTTAAGGCTGTACTGATGTTAAGAACGTATTTCCTAGCATTAATTCTATACTTGCAGTCATTTCTGTTTCAGCATGAGCTGTTGTAGTGATTTCATATTGTATCTTATTCTTATCCTTTATTTTAAGAGGTACTTTAACATATTCATGTACTGTGGTCACTGCACCATTAAAGTTGTAGTATGTGTATGGCTTAGTGAGTTCAAATCTTGGTAGGTGTGGGATCATATCACTATAAATATGTGTTACTCCTGCTCTTGTATCTATTAGGATAGAAATGTTATGCCATTCTTTCTCATTATAATAATCTCCTTTTATTTTGAAATGTCTAGAAGGGATTTTTAAGGTGTCTAATACCACCTCATGTTTTATAATAATTGTTCTAGTTAAGACCTCTTTATCTTTCTTAGGATAGAGTATAACTCCTAAGTCTACGCTATTTCTATGGTTTGATTCAGGTTCTGTTTTGACTAATAGTTTTCCTGACTCATATGCCATTAGTCTAGGCATTTCTCTTTCTCTAATTAGGAGAGGTTTTTCACTAATATATATTTCTCATTCTTTGGGCAATTCTATTTCAGTGATCATTTCTGGTTTTTGAATTTGTCTTATTTCGGAGAACATAGGATCTAATTCAATATATTCTTTATCTTTAAAAAGATTAGATTGATGACTATTAGTCAATGCATAACTTATCATATAGTATATTGTCACGCCCCAGAACCAAAATCCGGGGACGCGACAGACGCCGTGCACTCGTGAGAGGTCCCACAAATGCACAAGGCTCGGAACTTATCTAAATCACAAACTCTATTCTCGCAAAATCTGTTTTAATACCATAAAATTCAAGGTACAATCTATCTTACAAAAAAAAAACATGATTTATTTCTAAAATTATATCAATCTCAAAATGGCTAGCCTTCTAACTCGTCACTTCCCGTGGTTTCCGTGTCTCGGGTCATACTACCTGAAATGGTGGACAAGGGAAAACTATGAGATACAATATCTCAATAAGTAAATGTATGGATAGCCCGTGGGTAAAATTTGAGCAATTCAGATAAACAGTTTAAACATAAACGAAATGTTCAATGATAAACCATTATGCAGAATAAAGTTCAGTAGCAGTCAATTAAACTTATAGCATGCCAACAGTACAATAAAAACGGATACAGTACGGGGAAGAAATAGACGTCTCCTCAATAGGTCATGGCCAGTGTTTAAACCTCCCACTGGCAGGCTACAGTATTGCTGGTGTTTAACCCCCACTAGCAGGGTCAGTATTTGCTGGTGTATAACCCCCACTAGCAGGGTCAGTCGGACGAACCGGTTCTATCAATAACATGTCGACATGTGCTAGCGTTTAACCCCCACTAGCAGGGTCAGTAATGACATGACCACATCGGAGACAAAACAGGCAGAAGTTAACAGAAAAATCATTCTTTACAAATAACTTTCAGATCATCAGGGCAATTCAGTAAGTTTCAAATAGGCATGCTCTACTTCAGAAAAACAGTGAAATTCTCATTTTCATTTCAATCACGCTCAATTCCAGAAAACAATGGAATTCCCCTTTTCATTTCAGAAAATAACACTTTCCATAAAAATCATCACAATTTTCATTTCAGTTAAATCACACTCAGATGTCGATAAAATCAATTTAAACCTTGCCACCATCTCAAAAACAATTTAAAACATGCTTTACAATCGAAGGGCTTTACCATAATTTACTTACCTCACTTGGCATAAACAGGAAACTCGACCCCAGAGTTCTAAGCCACAAGAGCACCTAGTGTTCCAAATAAACATGTTCAGACCTCGCTAGAATATTAACACAACATTGCAATTTATGTCAATCTCTCATGACCTAACACCTCTAATTTCATTCTCATATAGAACTAAGTATTTCATCCACTTTATTATTGCCGGCAAAACCTCAAAATGCAATATTCATGTATTTATTTATTCTTTTCTTCTTTCCGAATTTTAACATTAATCCGGATTGGGTATACATATACATATAACAATTAACACACACATTTACATATATTTATAGCTTCCCAAACTCACGGGCAAACAATGAAGAGTATGGCTTTTATTCAATTTTCCATCTACCAGCAATCAATCAGAACAATTTCTCCAGGATAACTAAAATGGCATAAAAACAACTTCAAACAGCAAAGATGATTCCCGAGACAACTACACAAAATTCTACACGAATTAGCAACCCAAAACCCATTTTATGCTACCAAATTCTTCCATATTTCTACAGAAATTCGGACAGCACACAGAGGGTTTTCGGACAACACAGGGCAGCAACAAATTGATAAAATTCAACAACACAAGGCAGTAATTAACTAATGAAGTTTCAAGCTTGGAGGGTTGTTAACTTACCAGAATATTTCCAGCAATAGAAGCCGGATCTGGCGAGCTTGGCAGAGATCGGGAGAGGGGAAGGGATGTCACGGGAGCTACCAAAATTGAAGGAACAAGAGGAAATTAGGGTAAACCCAACCTAATTCAAGGTTAAAGAGAGGGATTCATGCTTGAATCTTACCAGAAAACCGAACCCAACCCCACACAGCAGAGGCCGGCGGACAGAGGGGAAGACGACAGCGCAGATCTGGAAAATTTCTGAGTTTAGGAGAGTGTTCTAGGCCTGAAACTTGGTTTTGAGCAAGAAGGAAAGGGAAATTTCAAGCCTTTCATCGGTTCTCAAAAGAAGAGGGAGTCGGTGGCTTTGGGGAGGGCTGGTCGGGCTGCACGAAGAAGAAGAGCAGAGCAGAAACGTGTATGGCTGGGAGGAAAAGGAACAAAAATATCAGCTGATCCTTATCCTAATTTTCTTTCTTTTTAGTCCCTGAACTTTGAAAATTTTTGCCATTAAGTTCATTAATGGTATTTCTTCACAATTAAGTCCCTATGCACACTTTAATGTTCTAGGAAATTTTGGGGTATTACATATATACTATATGGCATTGATCCATCTTTCATAAAGTTTTCTCTAGCAAATTCATGTGCTAAACTTAAGGTTTTATTACTATTTCTATCATTAATGTTTACAACATATTTTGGATATACTGTAAACATAAGTTTCTGGTAACTAAGGTTATCTTACACTAATCCAAGGATAGCATCCTTTCTATCATTGATTCTATTATCTATTAAAGCTAATTTTATTGGGGTGTCTATTCCTTCTCTAAAATGAGCTTTAATAAGTATTTGGATTCCTCCAATATGGGTAAAACCTATCCTTAATCCATCAGCTTCTTTGATTTTTGATAGTTTGCTCTCTATTTTTGCCTTGATAATCAAAGGTATATTTATTATTCCCGTTGTATTCTTGGTAGGAATGCTATATTCTTTAGTGGATATTTTGTAATAAACTATATCTTTTCTCTTAAATGGATTACTTATAAAGGAATTTGGTTTGAATCCTTTTTCTAAAGCAAGGTCCATTCTCTTTTGTCTAATTCTTTTATATTTACTTTTATTGAATACAGTTATTTGACTGTATTCTCCATGTCCTTCATCTTCTTCAGAATAACCGTCTCCTTCTTCAATATTCTAATTCATCACTACTAGAGGTATATAAACTTTTCACTTCATATAAACTTTCTTCACTACTTATAGAGCTAGCATCTATTTCACTTAGTTCTTCTTCATAAATTTTTAGGTTTTTAGTACTTTCTGTTTTGTATCTTTTAGGACATTCATTTGCATAATGCCCTTCTTCTTTACACAACCAGCATGTGTATTTTTTGGGATTTTTTTTTATACTTTTTTGATGTTTTGGTTTTCTTAAAATACCTCTTTTTCTTTCTAGAAAAATTTTTTTTATTAAACCTTTGTTTATTACTTCTTTTAATTCTAAATTTCTTATTTCTCTTGTTGTAGTTGGTGTAACTACATCCTAACTTGATTGGATCACTATTCTCAGGACAACATAGTCCCTTTTTCATACTTTTTCTTAATTTGTTCTGACTATAGGTTTCTAAGCACCATTCATTAATTTTGGTTTTAGCAAACCAAATCCTTAACCCTAAAGTATCTTTCTTATCTTCTACATATATTCTATAGGCTTCTACTAATTTTATTTCCCAAGGATTAGGAATTTTTCCAAAAAACAATTCCATGAGGCCTTTAGTCATTCCATGATTTGAAGCTGTATAATAGTATTTCTGAAATAGACATATGTATTGATCTAATTCATAGAGATTACATAATTCTAAATTTTGCAAATTCCACACTTCTATTCTTCCAATTCTGGCCTCCTCTTTTCCTTGATTTTCTTCCCAATTTTCTCCTAAGAATTCTCTCCTAATAGCTGATTCAAACCTATTTATTATGTCTTGAATTGATTCGTTTTCATTAACTTCTTCTAAAGCAAGATTTCCACTTATAATAACATTACTATCATCTTCATTTAGACTAGCAAACTAGTCATGAACTATCTCTTTAAAGGTGACTTGAATAAATCTAACTGTTTGTAGGGCATTCCAATTTTTGTTTGCTACGGCTATCCAAGTAGCTTGGGCCCAGTCACTAATGACCTTCTCTAGGTCGGTAACACAATCTAAATCTAACCAAATACCATTACTAATTATCTATTCTTTAATTCTTACTAGTGTTTCAAGTCTAGATTGATTCTCAAATCTTTTACTCTTTATATCATATATCTTTTCATGTGTTAGATTTCTATTTTTTCTATAGCTCTGGCTTATGTTGGATTCTACTCCAGATGGCATTGGAAATTTTGTTGGGGTTATATTAGGATGTGTCTCATCCTTTTCTTCTTCACTTTCCTCTTTTATTTCCTCCTTTTGGGTATTCATTTTCACATTTTCATACTTTCTAATTGTTTAGTAGTTATAGTAATTTGTCTGCACATATTATCTAGTTCTTCTACATTTTCTTCTTCTAAGAATTTTTGTTCAAGTTCTTTCAACTTTTCTTGGGTTTTTAACATGAAAAGTGTTATCCCTTTTGATTTAGGTTTTTCCATGAAAATTTTTGAGATTATTTTAAATCCTTCATTTTTATCTACAATATTTCCCCTACTTCAAATTGATATTATAATATCTTCTAGATCCTTGAGTTGTGTTTGGATTTTATAAAATTTTTTATCTATATCACTTTCTAGTTGTGGAATTATTCTGTTATACATTTTTAAGCTTTTATCGCAAAATTTTCAACAATTACTTTTAATATCTTGAAAATTTCTCCTATTTTGATTTCTATTTCTTTTACTCGAGATATCAAAGTCTTTGAGTCTTTAATAGACCTTATTTCTTCTTTTATTTCTTTCAAATTTCTAGAGTTTTTGACATTATTTATTCTTTCTTTAATAGAATCAAATTCTTGAGAAATGGATTTTCCCATTTCTTTAATTCTTCTTAGGGTATTTTCATTAATTGTTTTTATTTTTAGAATATTATCTATGATAATTGTATCTTCTATATCTATTATACTTTTTCCTACCGTATTAAGTAAATACATGTTAATTTGATCTATTTGTTCATTGCTCATGTTGATAAAAGTATATTAATAATATTTCTTAATGTATTTATTCTTTTTCTTTTTCTTCTTATTTTGTAATTAAGAGTTCTAATTCTCATTATACTTTAAATACTTACTTCTAAAGCTTCTCTTTCTAAGTTTACTAGGTTTCTTTCTTCGAATTGAGCTAGTTGTTCAATTTCATCATAAATTCTAATTAATCTATCTCTATAGAGTATTTCTTGATTCATTATATTTTATTAAAATTATAGTGTCATTTTTTAAAACTTAGAAGACCATTCTATTTTAATTCGAAGTTATTCTTCCATTAAAACTAACGACAATCTTGTACAGTAAACCATTCTGAAATATTTTTAAAAATTTATAAACCACTTAGAAATAAAATATATTTTTTAGATTAAAATGAAATCAAGTTAATAATTAATAAACTAATTTTTGAATTAAGACTTTTGGGTTGTAAGTGAGATGAGGGAGATTCACGATACATCTACGTATGTCTTAAATGAGGTGAATCCAATTTGAAAAAATAAAATAAAAATAAAAACTAATATTAAAATTTTTTAATATTTTTTCTTCTTTCCTTTACAAAATTTAATAATAATTAACTATATAATTAAATACTCTATTAAATTTATCTTAATAAATCTAATATTCTAATAATTTAATAAAATTAAAATAGTTTATTTTTTTATTAAAAATTAACATTAATTTGAGATTAATCTAATTAAATTCAAATAATTTTGGTCTGCATCGTATGATATTTCGGCTCAACACCATCCAAAAACTAACCCATTACGAGTGAGTTATATATCAGGTCTTGAGGCTGAGTTAAACTTTGCAAGATCTAGTTCTGAAACATATATGATTGTTCAGAAAATCCTAGACTGATATTCAAGGATAAACTAAAAATAACTTCCATGATTCTGGATCAATACAGATTAATGTTACAAATCCAACATAAAAGCGAAAAAAATAAAAGGATAAGATCAATTAGAAGCGTATATGTGAATTCCGATGGCAATGAGGAAGATGGTTATGAGACCGAAATAGATGATAGCGTGCACAAGGATAGAAGCGCCGCTGGTATTCATCTTGCCGAACTCAACCACCCTGCCCTTAGCAGGAATCTGAAACAGTAACCCCGGACTCAACAGCACAAACAGCACCGTCGCCACCAGCACCGGACCCCAATCGGCCGGCATGACCTCTGTCACTTCTGTTTTTTCAGAGAAGAAATGAATTTCAGAAGGTTGGTGAAAGATCTGCGTAGGCAAAGAAGAGAACGCGGGATCTGGTTGGAGATAGATGCAAACAGCAGAATGGGAAATGCTGACTTGATAAAGGGTAATCAACACACGAGAGGAACGTGTGAGCAACGGCTGTGATTTTCCGGCGATCTTATGGTAAAATTGGGAATTCGAAAAACTTAAAAATTGTTTAATAAAAAAATCAAACGATTTTTGAAAATCGGCAAATACTATTTTTGAGAGTTTACAATAATTCAAATTATTCAATAATGAAGAATTAATTACACAGAAAATCGGTACTTGGACAAAATTATAAAGAAAGTATTGTAGTACTCTAGCCGAGGTAAATGTGGATGCCGATTGCGAGGATGAGGATGGTGAAGAGGACGAAGAAGATGATGGTGTGGACAACGATGGCCTTGCCGCTGGTGGTGAAGCTACCGAATTCGATGCGGTGGTTCTTGCCGGGAAGATGGAAGAGGAGGCCGGGAGAGAGGAGGATGAAGAGCAAGAGACCGACCAGAATAGGCGCCCAATCTGCCATTGCTGAACACTGAAGCAATTCAACAGTCACTTATGTGAATTGAGACAATGGGGCAGGATTATAATTGTTAGTGAAAAGAGATGAATTCAAGTGGAAGAAACCGTATCAGGCTTCAACTAGATGATTTAGCATATAGGATGGGGACCCGCTGAGATACTTGAATAGTTGAATCAAGCAAAGAATAAAAGCTTGTCTTGTATGGTGAATTTTTAAGTATTTTAATATCATAAAAATTATATTATCATTTATTAATTAAATTAATAATAC